GAGGCGCGGCTCCAACTAGAAAACAATGTTTTGATGCATTGGATGTGCTGAATGTGCATATTAAGGCAGTACAGGAGGAGGTGCACATTAATAATCCTCCAGGACTGTAACATGCTCATGTTTAACCCAAACAATGTGTCATGTGACTGCAGTTGGTTCACATCCAGGTCGGAACAGAGTTTGTAACCGGACTGAGACCACCTCTTCAAGAAGGTCTCAGTCTGGTTATTTAGGTGTGCACCTGAGTGTGATTGCTGTGTTCACACCTGCCCAAATAAACCACAATTAGGGGGCAAACAACTTTGAGTTCAATTGAACGGAACCAAATAGGGCAGGTGTAAAAGCATCCTGAGATTCTTCAAGCTGAGCAGTCTCCTGTTTGTTTCTTGTCAGTCAGTATGCAGTGTACATCTGGGGACATATTGGTCCCCAAATGTAGCTGCAGAGTGCCAGCTCCTTGCTTTCACACTACTCTCCAGTACAGGAAGCTGCAGACCCAGAGCCAGAATGAGTCTGAGTGAGATGGAGACAGCTTCCCGCAGGAAGAGAGGCTTTGCCCAGTCGGGCTCCCAGATAACGTTATCTTCTGCCAACTGCTTAAAACAGTCGAGAAAAAAAAATACCCCATAGATTTACTGTGCAAGCTGCTTATTATGACCCATACTAATGCTTGTTGTAAGTTGGCACCCTCTAGTAGCTGTGGTAATTATTATAGGTGCAGAGGGGGAAGTGTGGTGACATGGCATGAAAAGCCTGTGTAGGTGAATAAAGTCCATGGAGGAAGGAGGGGTGGTGGATGGGTCAAACAAGTCAGCGTAGCCTAGTATGCTAGCATGTGTAGCCAGGCTAGTTATGGATGTGATGTGTCATATGTGATGTGACATAAATCATGTTACGTTAGTGACAAAAGTACTTATTTAATGCCAAACCATTTTGTTTTTCCTAAACTAACCATGTAGTTTTGGAGCGGAATTGCGACTGTTTCATGACGTTAAGGACATGTTATAAACTGCAACCGTTTGAACGGCAATATATGCCATTTTAGGGGTGGTCATATTGGCTGTTTTGGTTGGTGGAAATCAACCTATTCAGTTATTTAGGCATGAGAGAGTGGCTTAGAAGTGGTGAATTTACAGCTCATAGCAATTTAATAGGATACAGTCAGTAGCCATGTGTCCATCAGCCTGTTTAGATACGCATCTAGAAGTATCTCATGGGAAAATTATGATGGAAACGCCAAAATTCAAATTAAAATCACTCGCTTTAGCCAGGTTTTGGTTGACTCGAAAAAATGTTGATTTGCAAAGCGGGGGATGGAAACAGTTATGTTCGAATTAAGTCTGACGTAGCGCACCTCTCTCCATAGTGATATCCACACTCCGGGTCGGGAAGGCGGTAATGCATTTACAAGCTGGTTGCCAACCACCAGAAAACGTAGAAGAAAAGGAATGCAAGACTTGTTTTGTTTCCGGTTCTGCAGAAAACTTGCGCAAGCTTGTAGTTTTCACCAAAGTCTGTACATTTAATGGAAACACACAGGATTCGTATTTCTTTTAATGCACATTTCCCAATGATTCAAATCACTTTTGGATGGAAACATAGCTAGTGAGTTTTGTTTGTATTTTTCTCAAAAAATATTGCACATTTCTGATGCGTCGTTAGCAAAGTTAGCATTTATTAGCTCAGGAGGCTAACTTGGCTTGTTTACTATAGAACATGAAGGTCGTTGTCACCCTGAGTGTCCAGCTGAGCCCCGTTCAAACTGTCAAATTCTATATGGAAACAAAGGAACAAACAGTCTCATATTTGTTTTGAACAGCCAAATCTGATTTAACTGTCATAAAACAACTATAAGAGAGAGACTTATAGAAAAATAAAAAGCCCCTGGTGCAGCCTACACACAACAACAGAAGTGGAGGAAGCTGAAGTGTTTTAGTACCTCCTGCTCTTCCTCCCCCTCTTAACGAGCCTAAAAACCCAGATTGATAAACAGTCTGAATCTGATCAAAGAGACGACCACGTGTGTGCGTGTGTGTGCTGATTAAAATGTTCCTCCTGCTGTGTGATTATTAAAGAGCATCCTAATAATCATCACCAGCCTCTTCCTCTGAACTAGCACGTCTGTGGTAATAAAGCAGGTGTACATGTGTGCTCTTGCTGCTTTTGGCTTTTATCAAGACTTTTGGCAAATCATAAACAGAGTTATTTCAGCTACAACTGCAATAAATGGGCTATCTTTACACACACACACGCACACACACACATCTGGCGTCTGGACTCGTTGCTGCATTATTCAAAAACCTTTTACTATGATTTATTCACAGTGTGACTGGAGCTTACACACTCAGCCCAGCTACGTGTGTGTGTGCGTGTGTGTGTGTATGAGTAGAGAGGGAAAGTGGAAGTCAAGGTGCATGAGGCAGATGCAAGAAATAAAGAGTGAGAGACAGAAAAAAAGAGGAACTAGAAGGGCAGACCTCCACCGAGGCCAATAGTCCAGTCTTCTATGATATGCAGATCTGCAAGTGCAATCACTATATACTGTGTGTCTGGATAAAAAATCAGAATGATATGGTTGATTTTTCCTTAATATCTCTGATGGAGTTTGTTGCAGAAAATAACATTTAGATGTGAGTCAGAATTTAAACAGTTGCAGGAACACGCACTGTTACAACTGATCCTTTGCTAAGCCCCGCCCATTTGTGATGGTCCGACAAGCTGTCAGAGTAAGCATGGAGTCCACACTGTAACTAACTGCACTCCCTGAAGAAATATTATCATATCACAGTGATTCCAGAGAGAAGCAGACAGAGGGGTCTACAGTCTGTGCTTGAAGGATATATCCAGGATGTCAACCTGACTCAGCAGCAACAACAGGTTAAAAAGACAAAGACAGTTAGAAGCTAAAGCCGAACTATAGGCTACAGATCACAGTGTAAAAGTGAACCACCACATCACTGCTGATCGCCACACAAGACAATGAATATAAAGGGAAACTTTGCTGATATTGAACCAGCTGTGTGGCATCACAGTGTGCTGATGAACCATGTTTGGCCACCAGCACCCGGACCTCCGCTGCTGGACGGGCAGGGATCTCCGGGGGAAGTCAAACAGCTGGTTGAATATTAGCAAAGTTTCCCTGCTTCCCTTCACTGGTTCCTGTACAGCAGGGTCGGTCTTTGTTTCACTGTTACAATCATTAAAAAGCAAAAGCAGCATGTGTATACATTCAGTAGGCTATATCTTCAGTAGCTAGCTAGCTAACCCTACACTTTTCAGGGTTTGATTTTGGTTTTGGAACAGGGAAGAAACGTGTATCTTTTTCCAACCTCTCCAGGTAACAAGTATCATTAATACACGACGTGCCCCAGACACAACATTTAGCTCCAAATCCACAAAACCAGTCTGAAAATGAGGGAAATCTGAATCGACAGCATTAGAGTCAATGGAGCACAGCTGTGTTGTTGTCGGACCCCCCTCTGTTGTGTTTCATGTGTATGTGTGTGTTTACCTTGGAGATGTCCTGACCGTCAATGCGGATGCTGCCACTCTGAGGGTCGTAGAATCTGAACAACAGACGCAGGATGGAGCTTTTCCCTGATCCAGATGGACCAACCTGTGCACACATTATTGAAAAGCCCAGTCTCAGTCTTATATTACTACTTTTACTTAAAGGGACACTGCACCCAAAAATGAAAATTCAGCCATTATCTACTCACCCATATGCCGATGGAGGCCCTGGTGAAGTTTTAGAGTCCTCACATCCCTTGCGGAGATCGGCGGGGTGAGTGGCTGGCACACCTAATGGCAGACGGCGCCCCAGACTAACGTCCAAGAACACAAAATGTAATCCACAAATTACCTCCATACTGCTCATCAGTAGTGATCCAAGTGTGCTGAAGCCCCGACATAAAAAGTTGTTTTGAAAAACGTCATATGAACTCTGTTTTTAGCCTCACTGTAGCCTGTAGCTCTGACTGCTTCTCTGTGCTCCGCGCGAGACCAGCGAAAGCATGAGCTTTGCTTACCCGTGTTTACATCACGTGACGCGTGCACCGCAGGGGGAGACAACAGTAACCACAGTAGCTAAAAGATAATTTGCACTTCGGTCTTTTAGCAAAGGACAGCCCAACATGTCTGAAGACTTTGAAACTGAGGAGGAACAGCATTTCTTTGTTGAGCCGTATTTGTTTGAGCCCGAGTATACACACGCGGAACTCAGGCTACTGGACGAAGCAGCCGCTGCAGCTCATGAGCCTAACCCTCAGCCAGCCGCAGAATACCGGAGTCGAGCACTGGATACCTGGTGGTGTAGTTGTTTCAAATGCAAAGCAATGCCAACGGATGAGGAAAGTCTTTGCTGCTCAGACTGGGAATTGGCGATGCCTGCACTTGACAATCTGGACATCAGTACTGACGAGACTGCTGCTCTTCAGAGACCGCGCATCACCGATCACCCTGAGCGCACACACACGTGAACGCGGAGCACAGAGAAGCAGTCAGAGCTACAGGCTACAGTGAGGCTAAAAACAGAGTTCATATGATGTTTTTCGAAACAACTTTTTATGTCGGGGCTTCAGCACACTTGGATCACTACGGATGAGCAGTGTGGAGATACTTTGTGGATTCAAGTTTGTGTTCTTGGACGTTAGTCTGGGGCGCCGTCAGCCATTAGGTGTGCTAGCCGCTCCCCCCGCCGATCTCTGCAAGGGATGTGAGGACTCTGAAACTTCACCAGGGCCTCCGTCGGCATATGGGTGAGTAGATAATGGCTGAATTTTCATTTTTGGGTGCACTTTCCCTTTAAACAATAATCTTAGTACTTCCACCACCACTGTCCAGATACTAGAGGTATCGTAAGTAAATATCTTATTTTGAATTTGGTTAAAATGATACGTAAGACTTTATAGTCAATAAGAACAAAGGTGTATTAAACAGAGGACAACTTACCAAAGCGACTGTCTGTCCCCCCTCCACTGTAAAGGACACATCCCGAAGAATCTCAGTGCTGCACACACACACACACACACACACACACACACACAAACACAAGCACACACGAATAAAACAGCAACAGTCAGGATTAAAACTGACAAAATGAAACAAAACCATGAATGTGTGAAAAATTAAAGTTACAGTAGATGGATTCATTGAGTCCATTGTGAATTATTCTCATTTAATTCACCAACACTGGATCTTCTGTTGTTGATTAATGTTGTAAATGTAACACACTGTAAATGTTAATGAGTCCAGGAGGCCAATCAGGACATTAAATTAATGTGTTAATGTGTGAGTGTTAATTAATAAGAGTCGTCCTGCAGACAGCAGGTGATGATAACCAGCTGTGCTTCGTCTTCAGCGAGAGATTGAGTTTATCTTTCAAAATAAAAGCCCCAGAGTAACAGTTTCAAATGATATAATTGTGACTGAACATATATCCAAAATAATTTCACATACACCCGAAACCTTGGAAACCATTTTTCTTAATTTAACAATTTAATTTTTTTTTTTTTTTTAACATGTCCTCCAACCTAAAGGACCAACTGAATATGTCTTTTGACACTTCCTTTTGTCACCTCTATAGTCAGAGTTGGTTCGGTTTAAGCAACACAATTGTTTGCATTAGGTTAGGGAAACATGGTGATCGTGGTTAAAACAAACCAACACTGACTGTTGGTAAGACACAGGATGCACACAGAGGTCACCAGTGTCACAGTCAGATGGTTGTTGCATGTCCTACCATCCACACTGATCTCCTCCCTCTAAGGTTTTGACTAAATAACCAACGCTGTCGTCTCTCTGTTTTCAGTTACAACTGAATGTAATCAGGTCAAATCATATGAAAGTGGATTCAAATTGTGAACAGATTTGTTGTTGGCTACACACCCAGGCACGTAGCTGAAACAGACTCTGTCAAACTCCACCTGACCTGCTGTGAGCTGCAAGTCCTGTGCGTCCTCAGTATCCTGAATCTGTGAGGAGGAGGAGGAGAGGAGAGGAGAGATTCGTTTTTAACTTGTGTCCCAGAATATACAGTAGAGCAACATATCCTCATATAACAGTTTGTATTATATCTCACAAATAAACATCTCTACTAGTCAGATTGGGTCTAGAAAAAGAATCATGGTTGTGAACTTGACATGATGACGTGATGACGTGATGACGTGACGTTACATATGTACCTTTTGGTATCCGACGGGACATGAAGCCTGGTGTCCTTGGTTTAAGTCCTATTTTTGTTTGTTTTCTTCTTCGATTCTGCACTCAAACTCACATCATCATCTGCCCACTTGACCACCATGGGGTCTAGAGCCTTCAGCCGTTCTGCCTCCTGCCTCTGGAACTCTCTCCCCCACAACATTCGCAATATTGACTGCATATTATTTGTCTTTTGTACTCTCGTCATCATTGAAAATGACGGCAAGCCCTCAGTGATTCTTAAATAAATAAAGGTTGAATGAATGAATTTCCACCTTCAAATCCCGTCTGAAAACACACCTTTTCAAGCTGGAATATTCAGTCTGATTTAATGGTGACATACAAGTTGACCTGCACTGATGATGACTTTATGAAAAAATTACGATTTTGTCTGGTCATTTTATTCACTTACATTGTATATTATGGAATTGTTTGATTTTATAATCTATGGATACATTGCTGCTTGTTTAATTTTTTTTTAACTGTGTCTTGTAAGGTGTCCTTGAGGTTGTCTCTAGGTAGTTTCAGTCATAACATGATCTTTTCCTGACCATAACCAAATGCTTTTTGTGCCTAAACCTAATCACACGTTAACTGCAGCATTGTTTAAAGGTAAAGAAATGCAAAGTTTCAGCATGTCCAATAACATACAAATGTAACGCATCCATTGTTTTCAGAAACGAACAGTGCCAACATTTATTCTGGCAGTTGGTGATATAGAAATTATGGTGCAATACTTTTTGTAGGTATAAGAATAGCCTGAGTGGAGATGCCAGAAAATTTACAATTCACTCTCAACTCAAGATGCATCGACTGGCTTGTTCTGGTGCTTTCAACCATATCGCATTGTCTTCATCAGCAGATGGTGTTTAGCTGTTTCCGAGGAAGATATAGAACCGTAACAGGGACCGATATGAAGACAATACCAGAAGAAGAAGAGGAGTGTGAAGGAATGAGAGGGAGGAAAAAGATAGAGAGAGAAAGGATGGAGAAAAGAAAAGGAGACAAGAAGGGTCCCAAGAGAAAGGATTCTCCCATCATGCTCCACTTTTACTCCTTTCTCACTTCCCCTCTTCTTTCATACCATCCCTCCTTTTCTCCCTTTTTTGAATCGTCATACTTTCACTTGTGCACAAAATATTTCCAGCAAAGTTCGATTGGAATTTGATGAATTATAACTTTCAGCTTTTTGCGACCCCTCTCTCCCTCCTGACCTGCTCCTCACCCTCCTCCTCCTCCTCCTCCTCCTCCTCCCTGACTCCCTGACTCCCCTCGCCCGCAGCTTCCCAAGCCAAAGAAAAGGGCCGCTGTGTTTTTAAGGTGCTCTAATGCTTTTGTCTACATTCATGTGGCTGTTTACCATATCAAGGGCCTGTGAATGTAGGAGCCTTTAGTGAAGCAGCCGGAGGACGCCTTTTCCCACCAAACACACACACACACACACACACACAAAACACACACGTACACACACAGACATACACGCAGACTGTGTGTTTCAGTATGCTCACAAACACACACAAAGTCACACACAAACACTTGTTCATCTCCTAATCTGCTGACCTCTGACTGTGTGAGTTTCTCCGTTTCTGAGCACAGCTGATGCACAGCGATCAGAAATGAACACTTAATAAGATTTTAGTTTTATAATCCACTTATCTGTAACTATCACATTTAGTTTATGCTGGTATTATACACACTCCTCTCTATATATATTTAATTTCTGATTATGCTAGTTATTCTTTCTTCTTAGTTTGGTGCTTTGAACAACGTCCACCTCAACACTCTCAACAAAATCATTAAAATGAGCAGCAAAACCACTGGACTGGATCAGGAACCTCTGAGTAGTATCTACAGCAGATAGACTAAAATGAAAGGACGACAAACAGCCTCAGATACACAACCGATACACTTACCCTCAGGCCGCAGATACAGGTCACTCCCACTCAAGACCAAGTGGACCATGTCAAGCTTTGTGCCTCCTTCTGTCAGACTCATTAATACTTCAGATAGCTTGGGTGCTTGACCTTATTTATCACTTATTTATGGACGTTTTTCAGCAGTTTTACGGCAGACATCTTAAACTGTTTCAAGCTGCACTCTGAACTGTACATTGTCAAATTACCTTTGTCGTTTGTTTGGTTATGTGTTGTGTATGCACTGACGTTTTCACACAAATTAAGTTCCTAACGGATGAATAACGTTAATTTGATTTTGATTTGATCAAAGTAAAGCACTCACTTCTGGGCTGTGTTTGAACAGATTTAACTCAAAATGAATTATAGAAACTCGAAACATTTTGCAGATGATTATTCTACTTTGTGACTCACCTCTTTCTGCTCCATTAGCAGTGCCAGCATGTTCTCCATGTCAACAAACGCACTCTGAATCAGCCTGCAGAGACACACAGTGCACAACCAATATTATTAGAGGCAGCAGTAGTCACGGTCACAGTCGCACTAGGAGGAGAAGTAGTGTAACTAGCTTTAGACGCAGCAAAATGAAAGTGGTATTAGCAGTTTTTTCATCTCATCTCTCATCTAATTCTCACTTATTCAGTCATTTGTATTTAAAATACAGCACCGTCTTTGTAGAAAAGCTCTCCACTCAAGCCTCCCATCATAGTTTTGAAAATAATGTTATGTGTTCATAAGACTGACAGACTCTGATGAACATAGATCTTGCAGGGGTCAGTGGCCTCCTGTGCTGCACAGTAATCTCACCTGTAGTAGGTACCAAACCAGTTGAGAGGAGTGTACAGCTGGATGATGTAGGTGCCAAACAGAACATAGTCTCCAACCTGATGGAGAAATTAACACACAGAGTAGCTGAACATTACTGATCCTAAAATGATCAAGGATCAGACATATCAATCAGCCTCCCACTGGGAAGAGTTTCACCAGCCCAGTTGGCAGAATAAATGTTGGCCTTGTACGTTTCTGCAAACCACAGATATGTTACATTTGTGCTAATTTATGTGTCAGATACATTGGAACTTTATGTTTCAGCAACACTGTGGTTTAAGTGTGACCAGGTTAAGGGACAAATATCACTTGGTTATGGTTAGGAACAGGTCATTATTCGGCATGGAATACCTGCTTTGGGTGGCAGGAAACACAGCGATGTCTCGTGAAAAATGATCACTTTTTGTGGCTTTATCCTGGCAGGAAATGGAGCCATGTCACAGAAAAAACAACTGCCTTTTGTGACACTATCCTCAGTGGAAACTAGGGCTGCCCCCTGATAGTTGATCAAATGTTAGTCAACCAGAAAGGTCATAAGTCTTAAGGACAGAGGGATGTCGTATGCTGTAAAGCCCTGTGAGGCAAATTGTGATTTGTGATATTGGGCTTTATAAATAAAATTGAATTGAATTGAATAAGTCGGCTAGATTTCATTGGTTGTTGGTAGCAGAAAAAACAAACAAACATGAAACTCTATCAGGAGCTGCACCTTGCCAAAAGTGTCCACGCTCAGCAGTCAGACAGGAGTCAGGTTAATATCCAGGGCTGGTACCTGCGGTTATTCCACAGGCTAGTTAATAACATGTCGGGCAGGAAATCCAAAGTGTGGGATCATTTTGAGAAGGTGAAGGACGAACCCAAGGTGATATGTAAACTCATCTTCATTGGTCGACTACAAACATGACGTATCATCTGAAACATGGAAGTAGCTACATGCCCATTAGCCCACAGCGTCATTAACAGGCGGCTCGCTCAGTGTGTGACGTGCACTTGTAGATAAAATATAGGCCTATATTAATGAAGGTTCATTAGTACGGTTTTGTATTTCTCTGTAATGTAGCACAGTGTTAACAATGTTACTGATACTATTCTTTCTCACACCTTCAACTCAAACCAACAAAATATATCATTTAATAATTAAATTAATATCATAAACATGCAGGCGACTAGTCGACTAATGGACCTAAATGAAGACTATTGGTCGACTAGGAAAACTCTTAGTCAGGGGCAGCCCTGGTGGAAAAGCAGCTATCTCTTATTACAAGACAACTGCTTTTCGTGGCACTATACCCGGTGGTAACACAGTGACGGGTCACAAAAAACACCCACATTTGGTGGCTGAAAACCTGCTGGAGACACAGGGATAGTACCTCACTTGATGAATGTAATGTATGCATGGTTTGCAGAAACATACAATGCTATCATTTTCTTCTGGCGACTGGGCTGAGTTTCTCACATACTTTGGTCACTTGAAGGCGGCCAAACAGGCTTAGGACACAAATCTGACATATCATCATCTTATAAAGTTGTTCTGGAGAAAGTCTCACTGAGGTTACTGAGTTGCTCATGTTGTGTCTGACTGATTAAGGTCACGTCTGAGTCACTGAGGTCAAGTCCAGATTGTTGAGGTTATGGTTATGTAAGGCATCACAGTCATGTCAGGGTCACAGACGTCATGTCTAAGTCATTGTGGTCACAGTGTCTGAGTCACTGAGGTCATATCTGAGTGAAGTTCACTACACAGAGTTTAACATCTTCCTCTGTTAGTTCACTGATCTATGACATCATCCTAGTTAACCTTTATTTTGTCAGATATTCTCATCATGATTAAGGTCTCTTTTGCAAAGGAGACGTGAGCAAAGCAGAGAAAAAGAAAAACAGACATAACAAAAGTGCATACAGCGTCAGAGACGATCATCGGTCAGAGTCAAAGTTAAGAGTTAAAAACCAGCCAGTGGGATGAGACATGGAGGTTTTAAAACCCTCTGTAATTCATTTCATACTGACATTTTTAACCACCAAAATAAATGGGCTGACATCTAAGTTCAGATTCACACTGTGCATGTCAAAGTCTGGAGATGATCGTCTGAAACTTGTATGTAGACTTCTGATTTTCATGTTGGCTTCTACTGTTTTCTTTTAGTCTTCACTGATACCTGAAACTGTCCCTCGGAGACCAGGTAGGCACAGAGCAGAGATCCAGCCAGCAGTCCTGATCCGATGATGATGTTCTGGGTTTGATTCAGCAGAGCCAGCGAGGCCGAGCTCTTCCACTCACAGTGCTACGCACAACATGTTTGTTCATGTTCATTGAAATGAAGAAATATAGACAAAATGCTTAAAACTTGTAAATTGATTTGTATGATTTTAACTAAGTACTTTCAATCTACTTGTAACAAGCAGGTATGAGTTGTCTAGCGGACCTTAGCTGGTCTTTGGTACCAGATGATGTCACCTTTCAAGCTTACTTGATATTTCAGAATGGCTCCCTCAAAGCAGCGGACTTCATACTCCTCAGCGCAGTAATATTTTACCTGTGAAAACAAATCTGATTCAGAGAGAGCAGACTGAAACATCCTGAAAAATCTTCTTTTTATCTTGAAATGACTTCCGGCTTTAAAACCTAAAAACATTCTAGACGATCTTCAAACTCTCTGAACATCACACAACAACCTGAACATCTCAGTCGGTCAAACGCACACCACAGCTGGGAGTTTTCACGCACAACGTGATTTTGCCAAGTAGGACATGCTCCTGGATCAACATCCCACATCGAGTTCCTGGACCAACTCTGCAGTCAACCAATCACAGCCCTCTGACATCATCAGTGTGCTGCTCCTCTGCTTCTTCTTTCAAAATTACTTTGAGCTCCTTCAAAGCTGAGCTAGTTTTCCCAAAATGAAGTTAGTACAATTGAACACAATCCTCAGTAACACTGAACAAAAACCTCATGAGCTTCTGCAGGGTTAGCTTGCTAACTAGGTAGGCTACGCTAACGAGTAAACTTGCCATTAGACTAGAATATTAGCGAGTTAGCATGGCCTTGACATTTTGCACAGAACCTACAGTGAGCCTTATGTGCCAATCTGGTCTACACCTTTAATAAACAGAGGAAGTGAACAGGGAACATGTGTAGAAGTATCTACCGTCTCAAAGTTGAGCAGTGAGTCTACGGCTCTGGACTTGGCGTTGTTGTCTTGGTTGTTCATCTCTCTCCTGTATTTGGTCCTCCACTCTGTGATCAGGATGGTGCAGGCTGCAGACATCAGGACCGTTTTTAGAATTGACATGTAATTATTTTCTCAGAGTGTGATACTGTGTGTGTGTTATGACTGCATAGTAGCTAGTGCCATCAGTGTGAGTGAACACACTTACAGTACACACACACTGACTCACTGAGGTAGAGGACCATGCAGGTGAAAACGATGAGTCCAAACCAGACACTGAAGTAGGAGACAAAGTAGATGATGGCGATGATGATGTCACAGATGGTGGGGAGGATACTGAACAGGATATAGCTACAGACAGAACACAACCAAAAGGTTATTACTGGGTTCAGTGGTTCAATACACTCATTGAACCCAAGGACAGAACTTGTTTGGGTAATTGAACCCAGGTCATGTGAGGTGAGGCTCCTCTTATCTGCCTCCTCCTGTCCTACCTCAGCAGGTTGTTGATGGAGGAGGTGCCTCTGTCGACGCTCCTCAGCACGTCTCCAGTGCGTCTCTCCAGGTGCCAGCGCAGAGACAAGCCGTGCAGGTGGGAAAACAAACACACCTGAAGTGTGGAGGAAGGGAGACAGAGAGACACTTAGGACCCAATTCAAACAATATACAGCCTATAATCGAAAATGCATTGTGTAAGTGCATTATGGGCGTGTCTAACTTTGCTTTTGCAAGTTAAATGTTGCATAATCGGGGCACAAAGTAAGGCACAAGGGACAAAAGCATTGTATTTAGTCCCACAGCAGCACACAGCACAGCTCAACTGTCAGTGGTAGTTCTAGACCAATGCAGTCACCATTTCCATGGCCCACAATGTGTAAGTAGTAGTAGTCTGTGTTCCTATAGACATGAAGGTCTTAAAATGAGGTGTGGTCAGCATTGTGGAGTATTGCTATCTTAAAGCAGCAGAACGCAATTGCACCATTGACTATCTAAAATCTGGCCTAATGTCAAACTACGCAGAGGTTCATAAGGGAAGAACAGGTCTGAAATAATGCACCTACATAGGCAGGTTCACAACAAACGTACACTCTGCTTGTTACACACACAAGGACGCGTGGATGGGTTGTGGGTGGGCAAAATAACACATCATTAATGAGGAAAATATTGATTTAATTCTGTAAAAGGTGAACATAGCAGAGAGCAGAGCAGAGCTGCTGTCCCACTCCCCATTAGACGCTGTGCGTATTTACATACAAGGATCAGCGTAACTTCATCAATCAAGTCAGAGGCTGAAAGTTTAGTTCTGTTTCCTCGGTCAAGTTTATAAAAACAGTTTTTAGTTGTGCAACTTAAACGTCCCACGATATTTGCTGCAGAGACATCACTGCTCTGACTGCATTACTCTCAAAAGAAACCCCCTTGCTTCTCCAGTTCGCTGCCAATGTAAATAGCAGTGCGTCAGGTGCAGACACACCTGGCTTTTAAATGGAATGGGAGATGACTCTGATTGGTTGAATTCATATTACACCACAAACACACCTATGATTAGTTTATCCCCCTTGCACCTTACTTTGTGCCTAGATTATGTGCCATTTAACCAGAAAAACTTGGAGTTAGACATGCCCTAAATGCACTTACACTACATGCTTTAAACGAGTGGTTCCCAAATGGTGGGTTGCAGTCCAAAAGTGGGTCACAGGACCGTTCTGAATGGACCCCAAGTGACTAACAAACATGTCAAGTTTGTAAAAAAACACATTTTATTTTAGAGTGTTGTGAATTTCACAGCTACTTGACATGAGATGACAAACTGGCCCAACTACATGGCCAAAGGCAAGTATGATGCTGAATATATATAACTGTGTGGACCTTAAAGAAATGAAGGGGAAAACAAAGGCCAATGGTAAAATTATAGCCCAAAATGTGTGATGTAAACATCCATCACGGCTGAGCCTCAGTTAAATCTCCAAATACACAATAACTAGTCAGCTAAACAACTGTTGGCTCATAATCTGTATGATCATGTATGTACGTATGCCATAATGTATAAGACTTTGTTATAGTGATGTTTCCATCTGATTTTGGCAGGTATGAGGTTATCATTACAGATAGAAATAATGTTCAACACTCCAAAAACATGATCCAAGCAGAATCCAAACAGTGGGGAGTATAACTCATAAAGTCCTATATTAAAGTGGAAGGATCATGAAACAAACAGACATAGAAGTAAAGAAGAGGAAGTCTGAGTGGTACCTGAACGCCTCTGCTGGTGAACTGCTGAACTTTGATCCACATGAACTGACGCAGGTTGCTGATAAAACCTGACGTGCCTACGAATAACAACAGAGACAGAAAGATAAGAGAGGGAAGACGCCAGAGAACTTCATGCTCACATGAAACTTACATTCTGTGGCATGAACATCTTTTATTTTGTATACACACACACTTGTTCCTCTATATTATGAACACACACACACACACACACTTGTTCCTCTATATTATGAACACACACACACACACACACTTGTTCCTCTATATTATGAACACACACACACACACACACACGCACACTTGTTCCTCTATATTATGAACACACACACCTGCCCCTCCTCCCTGTAGGAACTTGAGCAGTGTGTAGATGCAGACAGTGGCAATCAGTGTAGTCCAGCCGCCTCCTGCAGAGAGCTCGTTCACTGCACACACACAACACACACAACACTTTTTGTTAGTGTCCTGACCATCAGAAACTTTAGTTTTCACATGACAGCAACAATAAACCAGCAGATTCAGGTACTTCACATTAAAACAACACATTAAAGATGAACTCTGCCGCATTTCTTATAACCAAGGCCTCTGATTTTCACAGTTAAACCCAACCACACCCACACACACACCCACCCACACACACACACACACACACACACACACACACACACACGTGGTGGAAAGTAACTAAGTATATATAAAAACAGTTTTGAGGTGCTCGTATTTTACTTGAATATCTCCATTTTTTGCTGCTTCATGCTTCTACTCCACTACAATACTGCTTCTTTGCTTCCTTGCAACTTCAGATTAATAATGAAAAATATATATATAATATATTCTGTTGCAGCCTTAACTTAGTTCATATTGATTTTATATATTTAGTTTTATTTCTCTTTTTTTTTATTTTGTCTATTAATTTTTCTATTTAATCATTTTTTTCATATATATATATTTTTGATTTTTGTATTTTTATTTACGCTTTGATAAATGTGCCTTGCAGGGGCCTCAGGGTATGAAATTAACAAAATATTTTGGGGGCAATTTTGGCCCCCATGGTCTAAAAAATGGGGGCATTTTCGAAATGTTTGGGGGCCATCAAAAATTGTAATTATGTTCTAACAATAAGCACATGAAAAGCAAAACCAACTAAGATAGTGTCTTCACTCTTCAGTAGAAACCACTATAAATGAAATAAATAATGGGTTACATAAAGTTATGGTTGCAAAATATCACTCAGATTTCATATAATTTAACCAGTTTAAATGTGATGATTTAACCATTAATCTACTGATAGCAGTACTAATGTTTCACCACATTACAGTTACTTTTACTGTTAAAAAGGCCAAATTGCTATAAATTCCTTAGATGCAATCCTGGAAGTAAGTTAATTTAAAATTTAACATTCATTCTACCTTAATTTTTCATTAATTTGTAATTGTGTAGACACAGATCACCCAAGAAATGGTTAATTTATACTTATGGTACAGCAAAGCTCCCTCCCCTTTTCTGTCAGATTACTCTCACGTAATCAGTGCAATCTTGTTGATTATGTCTGAAAAATGAGTTGTAGACGTGACGGTAAATTGATTTAATGAAAATAAAATTATACTTTAATGTCAGATTGTAATACTGTTAAAAATAAAAATACATATAGTTGTTTCAAAAACTTGGGGGCAATTTTGGCCCCCTGAACATGGCTTTTGGGGGCATTCTTGGATAAACTGCGGGCCAAATGGCCTGTGGCCCTTGCTAATTTCTGACACTGAGGGCCTTACACACACATTAGGTACATTGCATCTATCCTGTGCAGGAACCTGTTGTATAAATGTACCTTATTTATTTATTTATTCATCATCATCATTATTATTATTTATGTACCTTTATTTTTTTTATGTGCATGAATAATGTTTTCTTACTATATAATGATGAAAACTCTGTCTGTGTGTCTGTTCCATATTTTTCTCCTCACTGACTTGGTCAGTCCATGTGAAATTTGTCACAGTGGTAGAGGGTCACGGGAGGATGCGAATGAAGCAATATTACATCAATTGGCCAAAGGGGGGCGCTATAGCAACCGATTGAAATTGCAAACTTTGAATGGGCATATCTCATGCCCTGTTTCTCGTAGAGAAACTTCCGGTTATATAGATTTTCCACCATTTTGAATATTTTGAAAAACACTTGAAATCGATCTCTTCCTAGGAAGTTTGAACGATCTGCATGAAACTGGGTGAACATAATCTAGGGACCAATATCTAAAGTTCCCTCTTGGCAAAAGTTGGAAAACTTACTAAAACTGAGCTTCTATAAGGCAATAAATATTGCGGAGGGCGTGGCTCATCACATAAAGGTGTATAACATCTCAAGGGTTTCACCCATCACCAGGTAGGCATATGACCACACATAATCTGAGGGGACCCCTCCATTATTGACCCCATCAAACAAAATGGGGGCGCTAGAGAGCTAATTTCTTATCTAGGCCTAACCGCCATATGGATTTTTACTAAACTTGGTAGATATATAGAACAGGACGCCTCAAAGTGACTGGAGAAATTTAACTCTAATTGGCAACTGGGTGGCGCTATAACAACAGAAAAATGCTTAAAAATGGCTAAAATGCGACCGATCGCTGTGGCTCCCCCTGTGGACCAATGTTTTGATTTTTTTATAATGTTTGGTATGACTAAGTTATGGTATGGTATGCTGTACATAATCACGGAAACTGTCAGTGTGTCATTCTGTCTGTCAGTCATTCTGTCTGTCCCACGTTTTTCTACTCACTGACGTGGTCAATCTATGTGAAACTGCACATAGACATTGAGGACTGGCATAGGTAGAAGGTGACAAAGCTACCAATGGGTATGGACTAGTCTTTGATATACTTTTACAATCTTGCCATCTGTTATTATATGTACAAGTAACTCTGTGTGTCATGTTCCAGGTTGCTGTAGACTCAGATTTTTCACAAGGACACAATAAAAAGCATAACTGAAAAAAAGAAAAATACATATAATCAATAGATAAGTTATGATGATATTATTATAGATTATGATAAGCCTTTATTGATGCCAGGGGGAATTAATAATGTGACCAGCAGTAGTAGCAGTGGTTAAAATTTGCTACACCCTTACCATGATGAACACATGAATGCATCCATAATTATATTTCAAAAATAGAAGATTATTCTGAAAAGAGCCGTTCTACATATCCAGTACTTTTGATTTTGGTGCTTAAAGTATATTTTAATGCCACTACTTTTGCACTTTTATTCAAAGGACTAGTGTGTAGGATTAAGGGGAAATATTGACAGAAATGGATTTATATTTAAGTAGTAATTGATTCAGCATTATTGAGTTACTGGTAAATTATTATTTCATTGTCAGTTATAGTACTTCGTACATTGTTTCATTTGTATTTTCAGGTGCGGTGGGTAATTGGAGACAGTGTGTGTTCCCTTGATTACGTGCTAATTGGTTCCTACCTGCCCTTGTTTTGTGGGGACAGGTATGAATGATACAAGAGGGAGTGAGTGCCTTGTGCTTAAGCGTGAAGAGAAGATGCTGTACCCCTAAGTTGGGATGTGTTAGTACTGTCCTGCCGTGTTGGTAAAAATCAAACAAAGAGGAAGAAACATATGTTGTAGCCCGCTGATTACCCACAGCCTGGAAGAACTGGGGAACACCTACAATCAAAAAGGGTTACACTACTTATGACAAAACTTCACATAAATGTCCAACAGGATAAAATGATCAAGTGATGACATTTTATATCTAAAAGGTCAACGTCACTGTGACATCATAATGGTCTGCAAAAACACTTTTCTGGCCATTATTATCTGTGCTGTCGGGGGGAAGATGAGTGTAAAGTGTCCCTGTTTTCACAGACATGGATGTAAACTGCAAGAGAAGTGGTAATTGTACTTTTTTTTTTTTTTTTAAGTGTACTGATAGTACACAGAGTACTTCTACACTCTGCTGCTACTTTTACTCAAGTAAAATATCTGAGTTCATCTCCCACCACTGACACACACACACAGTCATGAGCACATTCACACACTCCCCTTTCTGCCACACAGACACAATCTCATTCACATTCATTACCATTTTGTACAAGTGCTGGGAATCAGGATGAAATGAGAAAACCGACAGAGATGAAGGGAGCAGCAGGAGGAGGAGGAGGAGGAGGAGGAGACAGACTGAAGATGCAGACAGAGAGACATGGTGAGAAAAGAAGGGAGAAAATCAGATAAAAAGATGAAGAGAAATGAATGAAGCAATGTGTGTATTATGCGTTCTTTGACTTTCCAGTGTGTGTTTTCAGTGGGGGGTATTTTCAGCTCTCTGGCATCAGGTCCTGGAGTCGGAGGGTGGGAGGCAGGGTCGGACCCGGAGACAAAACGTCCGTTGTACCGGTGTGTTAACTCCGCGAAAAAGGCCGCTAATGCCGGCTAAGCATGACTGGCAGGAGGGGTGACCTCCCAGAAAACCCTCCGCACACACACACACACACACACACATACACACCAACCAAATCCCCCCCTCACCACCACCTCCTCCACGCCTTCCTCATCACACAAAGCAGCGCTCGGCTTCATTCTCGCAGCACTGGCTTATACTTTCATGTTGCTCCAAAAGCCAAATGGCCAGTTTTCTAAAGGGGAAAGTAGCTGAAGACAAACTGAATGCTGACTTCCTCTGAAGTGGAGACTTCTGGGTCGTTGCCTTGTGGTGGATGCAGTCCTGTGTACAAAACAGGGTACAAAAGACTTTGGCAAATGATGACACTCCCTGAAAAATGGAGATGGAGTCCTCCTTCAGCCCAATAAGATCTCATTCCAGGAGCTAAACTGTTTTACAAGAACTGACGACACCAGGAAAAATATTGTTTTGGTTTACAGTGATGTTTGTTTCTCTGTTTTTTTTATGGATCTATTCAGCTGTTGGGTTTTGAACATTTAATTAACCTGGGATGAATAGTTATTGGTCAGTATTTTACAATTGTTATCCAGTTAGTTTTGATGTATTGTACTTAAAGTTTAGTTGATTAAAAACACACATTAAACACACATTAAACATGGCTTAATAGAGACAGTTTCAAACACAAGTACACAAATCAGCTTCACTATAACTCGCAGCATTCACAAACACTTGTCTTTATCTGGACACATTTTCCCCACAAATACAACATGCTAATGTTATTAGCACAAACCTATGGCATTTAACATTGTATAAATTAGCCTAGCAGCTAGTGGACTTTTCCTCTACTCATATGAAGCCAGGGACAACAGCAACATTTAACAAAGGTAACAGTACACAATTCGGCTCCATTACAACTCACAAGGTTCACTGACAAAACAACTGTCTTATACTAAACCCGTTTTCCAAACAAATATAACATGCTAACGTTATTAGCACAAGCCTATGGCATTTTACATTGTATAAATTAGCCTAGCAACCAGCAGAGATTTCCTCTGCTCATATGAAGCCAGGATAAATCACACACAAGACTTAAAATGTTGTTTTTGTGGAGGCTTTATTGTCTTCACAATTTATTGTTTCTTATCTGTGAAATGAAAGTAAATAAAAGCTTTGTTTCCACTGAGGGAAATGGTTTCAGCTTACAGAAATACACAGGAGGTCTGTGTCACTGTGATGTGTAGCTACATTTCTAAGGAGGTGCACGTCAGGCTACACAGTAGGTTACGACAGTTTCTCAGATCTTTCTCAAATCAGCACCACAGGCAGACTGATACCATCATCAAGCTGCGGTCAAGCTGTGCGTCAATACCAATGAGGAGTCATAACAATCATGGTGAGCACTATAGAAAAGATAGACACAGCTATCAAGGCTGTCCCAGATCAGCATGTCTTCTTATATTCCCCCAGCATTGTAGATTGTTTTTTACTTGCTCCCAGTGGTGACCCGAGCACATTTGATGCCCTAGGCGAGCCCAATGGTGATTTTTTAAAATTTTTTATTGTAAATCATTTAGTAATTCATTTAACCTTTTATATCTTTTTTTCTCTTTATGCTTATTGTAAATCTAAATTCTTTATTATGCTTTAGATTTTATTGCTCTGTAAAGCACTTTGATGAGCCCTGGTGTATGAAATGTGCTATACAAATAAAGCTGCCTTGCCTTCTGTACATGTGACAATACACTTGAAATAGAAGCCTAAATATTCTTTTCATGCCTATCAGGAGCCAAGTAAGGTTTGCTGAATATGATAAACATGTGCAAAACTTCATTGAATGAGCATAACTCTCCAATTAATACTCAATTTCAAATTAAAAGTCTATCAAAATATTCTAAATCAATATTAAATCAAGGGGCAGCAAACTGTCATTGAAATAAATGAAAACACAGTCAACTCTGCCTGTACAACAGACAGACTTCCTGTAAGCTCTGGTCCCACTTTGGCTGTTTTCACAGTATGACAACATCCTAACTCAGAGGGTACAAACACACTGGGAGGAAAAAGAGGGCACAATCAGTCAAGGACATGAGTGAACAAGGTGGACCACACTACAAAAACCTTGAGCACACTGGCACCTACAGTTTAGACTGTGAAATGCAGCTGTTTCATTTATAAGTTCTGCTCCTGGAGTAGATGTGTATTAAAGTGTTTCAGTTTTTGTTTCACTACATACCACACATTTTAAACTGCACATTTAGTGAACTAAGAAGTATCATGATCTCTTATTCCTTTGTCTCTGTTTTTTAGGTGCTTACCAATGTTCTTGGAGTAAACGGGCACCAGCACATTCACCAGCCGCTCTGCTACCAGCAGGCCCAAACACAGCAGCACCAGTCCCTGCAGCGCTGCAGCACCTTTAGGCCACACGTACGGCAGCAACAGCCTCACCTTCCTCCCAAAGCCTCGCCACACAGACGGCAAGGAAGAAGAGGGAGAGGAGGAGGGCTGGATCTGGGTGGAGAGAGAGGAAGTCAGAATATGGGCTTTTGTTATTTTCTATTATGGACTATATACCATATATTTTATGAATGCCTTGTGCCTTTTGTTAGTGTAAACCCATTCTGGGTTTGAATCACCTTTAACAGCAGAAGAAGTGAGTTCAGACTGAACCACAAGTATTTTTTTTAAAATAATTTTTAACATTAGCTGTAACTGTATAGCAGCCAATAAATCCTTATCTATCCAAGCCAAAATAGGCTTATACTTCCCCTCTGTGGCCAGAGAGCAGAAAACAGCCACTGCAGTGGAAGTGCTCCATATTTAAAAAAAAAAACCAAGTGATTTGTCCATTCCCCGAGGAATGAAGCTTCTTCCCATCGATAAATGAAATCGCTCTGACTGGCAGTCCTGCTCAGCGCACAGGAAGAGAAACTAAAGTGAGGAAAGCAAACAAAAGACCAATGCCCAGGCCACACTACCTGTGTGAGCAGTGTGTGATGGCTACCTTGCTGAACTGCTGTAAGTCGCACGCTCGTGGTGTTCACACAGACACTGTTGTTGCTGCGGTGCTGCTGTAACTACTGTATTTTAACACTTAAAAGCTGATACACCGCTCATTTATGGTGTTGAGCAAGCTGCATTATCTACAACACAAGCATGCAAATATCTTGTAACAAAAAGCCTTGTGTTAACAAATGAAGAGTCAGAGGGCTTTTATTTTGAAATGGAAACAGGAAAGGTTGAAAAAACAGATTTTTTTTCACGTCTAAGAGATATAGACATTGAAACTGTGGTGAAAGGTGGTGTAACATCAATATGATTATCAAAAGATCATTTTCACAAACATGTTTTCACAACATTTTCACAACATTGCTGTTTCTTGTATCTTTTGTACTTTTTTCTGCATGCCTAGTTTTTTTTTAAGTTTTTAAATATTGAAATCTTTAATTTGACTCTTTCCCCTTGACTGCTGTAACACTGGAATTTCTCAATTGTGGGCTCAATAAAGGTGTGTCTTATCTTACCAAACACGACAAACGGGAAGAAATAGGTGAGACTTCTTTTAGCTAGATGTGCCACAGCCAAGCTACACCTGAAAAGAGCTGCTCACGTGATCAGTGTTGCTGCTCAAACCTGATAACATGGGCACCAAAAACAACAAAAACACAAGAGGTGTTGCAACACACGCACTCTGCTCACACAGGCAGTGTGGCCTGAGCATAAACTCAAGAGGGAGTGAGATCTAAACAAACATGGAGCCATTGAGCTCTCTAGCAGATACAGTTTATAACTGTGTTATGTTTTTGCTAGTGCACGGTAATTATCATTTGTTTCTTCAACATCGGGTTGTTTTGTTTATGAGAGAACTGGCTAACCAGTGACTTGAATCCATCCTGTCAGTCTTACAGTTTCCCTTTCCTAATGAGGAAAACAGACTACAGCCGTGTCCTAGCATGGAGAGTTTTTTCCTCTCACACAGGCGCAGATCGTACATGCTTGTTGGCCATTGGCTGTGGTCTTTGGGGTGTTTTCAAGTGCAACCTTTTGGCCGAGACACAGACAACGTGAGGCCATGAGGGGCAAGAGCCCGCTCCACGCTCTACAGTAAACTTGGACTATATGCAAAGGTGAGATTCGTGTTTTATAAAAAGGTTTTTAATGACACGTTTCCATCTTACAAGAGAGAGAAGTCGAGGATGATGACTTACTGGTTTGTTTGGCAAGTGCACATCTGACTAACTTCTGAAATGTAGAATAAACATACAGCAGAATTAGCAGAACTCACCTCAACATTTACGACTCCTCTTTTGCCTCCACTCTTCATAGTGACCTCTGCCATCTGATTCGTTTACTGCGGGGTAAAACTCACCCACACACACACACACACACACACACACACACACACGTCCAGTCACAGGATTACCGACAAATATTTCATTAACTGGAGCTGTGTTAGTGCCTCAGAGTTTAGACCTGCTGTGGTGGATTTTAAAAGCAGTCACAGTGGTGGCAAACACACACACACACACACACACACAGTAGTGTTTTGAGCCTTTCAATTTAAAGTACCTGTGGTCAGCATTTGTTTTGAGCTGTGAGCAGGGCAATGTGTGTGTGTGTGTGTGTGTGTGTGTGTGTGTGTGTGTGTGACAGAGAGAGGGTCCAACAGGGTGTGATAGTGTTTTTTTGTTTGTTTTTTTAAGTACGATAAACACAAGGTGGTGAGAAAACTCTTGTAAAAAATAAAATCTAAAGCTCAAATATAAAATAGATATCTAAGACACTTTCCTTTATTTTAGGCAGGTTAAAATTAAATGTTTTACATTTTAAAATAAAAATATTTACAGGTAAAATGTATTGACTAACAAGCTTCAATAAACTGAATTCACTGTATTCATTTTTTAAATATATTTAACTGGGTTTCTACAACACTCATGTTTTTCCTCTGTTCTTGTTTCGCTACTTCTGACCCTGCTGAAAGAAAGAAAGGACTTTTTAGTGGAAATTTTTCTAAAATACATAAAACATAATTAGCACATGAAATCTAACTTTGTAACCCAATTTGTATTTTGGCTCAACAGCATTTCATCTGAAGTCCTACAGCTGTAGAGTTAAAAAAATTGACAAAACCTGACCCTCAGGTGCAAAAAATATTATTATATATCACTTCACATACCTAAAAGACAGCACGCTCACTTTTGAGGGTTTGTTTTAACTGTTGTCTCACCCCCTGAAAACAACTTTAAACTAGAGTTTTAAAACTGGGGTAGGCAGTTTTATTTCAGCGACACTGGGCAAAAATCCCATAATGAACATATTGTAATTCAAGTTGTCTGAGAGAAAACTAGAGTTCTGCACCTCCTCTTGGCTCTGTTCTCAGACTTTATAAAATCTAGACATGATAGGAGACTCTGACCAATCACAGGCCACTTCAGAAAGAAGGCGTTCCTATTGGCTGTTCTTCAAATGCAGATGCACCTGTATGTTTCTTTAATGAAAGCCTGATCCAGTGACAGAGAATCCTGCCGAGAAAGTTGCTATTCCAGCATTGGCAACAACTGCCCACACTGCAAAGCAACACAAAACAGGAAGATGGACTTATCAAAAGTAGACTCTAGAAGAGAGTCTGACAATAAATCAAACACGTCAGAAAATGTTGCAAATAGTTCAGCCTTGTGCTAACTGGAGCCTAAGGCTCACAGCTGTGGCTTCAAGTTCACATTTATGCAGCTTGTCAGCAAGAGCCTCGAATTATAGCGTGTTCTCCACCTCACTCCCCGCCTCTATACACCAGCGGGAAGGAGAGCCAGCAGCAGCTCCAGAGACGAACCTCCAGTCAGCAGCTGCAGCAGCCCAAATTCAGCCAGCGCAAACCCTAGCTCCGGAGGACAAGACAGCCCCGACTCCCAGCCGGAGCAGCAAACTTTCTGTTGCTGCTGTTACACAGGGTAGACCTGGTGCTGCTGCTAGCCACCAGCCCCCTGTGACATCTGGTTCTGGGTAAATACAAGCTGCTGCAGTTGCCAACTGAAGGTCTGACTCCCCAGCTGCTGCCTGCTCTCCACCTGGTGAAGCAGTAGACAGCGGTGGGGAGCGAAGCAGAGGGACTGTGGGGTGACTAGCAGCTAATTCTTGTCTCATTTGTGATCTGACAAAGAAAGAGAGAGAGAGCAGGGCAAGGAGGGGCTGAGCGAATGTGCTGTGGACATCTCTACAATGACATAAGATTAAATAAATTAATGTATGGGAAACACTGGGTTACCATGAAGCGTTTGCATATGCCTGTGGTCGTCTGGTGAGAAGAGCTTTAAAGATTTTTGCCAACCCCAGCTTTAACTGCAGCTTATAATGTTCAGGACTTGTGACTGTATTTAGCTTTTCTATAATCTCACTGAAACTAATAAATCGGCTAAAAGTCACATAGAGATTAACAGAGTTCTGACTAGTCTGTGGTATGATTTACATGGTTCATTCAAACCATGAAGAATAAATCAATCAATAAAACACTGATAATTTGAACCCTTAAGATACTTTCACCCAGTGCTAATGTTAAATCTTGTGAAATTTAACCACAGTCTAAAATGTAACGGCACCACCCAGTGAGACACCACAAGAACAGACTCGTCACACAGAGGTTTCAGAGAAAGAGAAAAGGAGAAAAAGCTAGAAACAAGCAGGTTCTTTATTAGTAAAGAGTAACAAACCAGCAGGTTGGATGGAGTAAGAAGAGGCAGCCTATACAGAAGAGTGCTGCTTCACACAGCGACATGAAGCCATCAGCATAACGTGTCTCTATGGGACAAAGCTCAGCATGAACACGATCAGGATACAGCACAGGCTAGCATTTAACAGGGTGGAGCCACCACAGTGCTACGTGGCTCACCAAGCCATGACAGATGCATTGTGGGATTGAACGGACACCGGGACAGTCGGCCTGAAGTTTAACTCTGTGGAGAAGAAGATCTGAGAGTCTACGACAGAAAGAGGGTTCAACAGTACAGCAGTGACACATCAGCTGTGCACACAAAGTTCTGTCATCGTCAAGTGTTTTCTGGTACTTTTACTTCAGTTAGAGGCAAATATTGTACTTTTTATTTGATAACTTACGTTACCTGTTGCTTTGTAGATCAAATAAGACTTAATCAATAATTAGGGGAAATTCAAAAGCTCTCAGCAGTGTATAAGGTAAAGTAACTCCATCTCTCTCAGCTGCAACATTTAAGACAACCTGTTTATACCTGGTATTGACCTGTGTCTCGAGTCACCAATCACCAGTGGACACTGCTTAATATAAATGTAAATGACCATGAGGGGGTCTAGGTCACATTTGAGAGCCAAAGTCGTCGAAATCCGGCACTTGGGCACTCTTGCAGGTCAGAAACCAACGAGAAAAGGGATCCTTTAACGTTATGCATGATACACAGCCAGTTGCTGTGTCAGGGGGGAAAACGGTTGGACAAGGGTGACAGTTAAGGTGGCACAAGTCTGACTGGGGTGGGCGGGAGTGACGGTAGATGGTCCGACAAACACAGACTATGTCCTGATGCGACCCCAAGAAGTACGTGACAGGAAAATCTGTTATCAGTGTAGAGTGTGGTGTTTGTTTTGGTGACAGCGTACTAAAGATAGATAACTTACCCATTTTACGACTAGTTGGAAGAAGTGTTGCTTGGGGCTGCCCCGATACTCAACCAAACGCTAGTCGACCAGAAAGGTCATTGGTCAGCAAGATTTTATTGGTCGCTTAGTGGCAGAAAAACAAAACAAGTGAAACTCTATTAGGAGCTGCACCTTGTCAAAATAAATCAAAACCTATATAACTGGACCATGTGTGAATTTAATTTGAAAGGACAGACACAGGAAGTGTCCACGCTCAGCAGTCAGACAGGAGTCAGGTTAATTTCCAGGGCTGGTACCTGCAGTTATTCCACAGGCTAGTTAATAACATGTCGGGCAGGAAATCCAAAGTGTGGGATCATTTTGAGAAGGTGAAGGACGAACCCAAGGTGATATGTAAACTCATCTTCAGGGGCCTTTTTTGCGTGGAAAATATACATTTACATTGCCAAAGCAAGTCTTAAATAGTAACAAAAATTTTGCATACCAGAATTTGGTTTGGACACATGTTACCTCTGACACACCCACCAAACAAGAGAAACTTTAACTCAAAGCCAGTTTTACATGGTTTAGAGGAAACATGTTGTTCACCTTGGAAAATGTAGCGAAACTAGTGCACACTGTTTTTAGATTAAACTTGCCCCTGAACCTAGGGACCTGGAGACAGATGACAGACACTGGTGTGAACGGTGATGTGTCTCAGCTGTCCACAAAACAGATGTTAGTACCAGGTGTAAACAGGCTCAGAGATGAACACATGAATGCATCAGTTATTATAATCCAAGAACATAATATGCAGAATTGGCCATTCTCTTGGTACTTAAGATACATATTGTTGCTAATACTTTTTTACTTTGACTTAATTATGACTGCTAAACTATTTGTGGTGATCAGATGTTTTTATGTACATGTGAAAAAAAGGTGCAAGTTTCAGTCTGACATCCTTATCAAAAGCCCAGAAGCTGACTGAAAGACCTTTTGATTATTCCTCTACATCGTAGACTACAGATGTTTTTACTTCTAAACATTCTGCAACCTAAAAGACAAAGTGTGAGTAAAAGGTCTTGTTCTGTTTCACTGAATCGTCACTAAAATTTGACTCATTGACAGGAGACACTTAGAGAACCAACTGATGAGCTGCGTTCCTCAGAGAGTTAATCCTCCGCTGCTGCTGCTGCTGCTGCTGCTGCTGCTGTGTAGGGTCAGTCAGAGAGTGAAGCTGTACTGGCGTGAGACAAAATGACTTTACACACTGTACACTACGACTGCCTTATTGATTTTTATATTTCCATTGCCAGTTTAAATTGAGATGGGCAGAAAAGGAATTAAAAAAAGATGACTGGTCGTCTTTACAGGAAACTATAAACAATTTTAACAAGATGCAAACACAGACCTCAGTAAAGCTTTGAGATTCTGGGGAGATGCTGAAATATAATGCGTTTTGAAGGCTGGGTTATATTTGACACCTCATGAAGACCCTGAGTGTGAGGCTAAAACACAAGAGCGCAGACTCAACCGGTTAAGTTGAAATGTAAACAAACAGTAAATGAAAGGCTCGGACTCTTTACAAGATAAAACAGCAGAGACCTGGAGCCTGTTAGGGAGCTCAAACTGCAGCTGAAGTCTGCTTTGAGTCTGATTTTCATCTTCATTAATGTGCATTTGCTTATTTAATTCAGGATTACCTTCAATTTTTTGATGAACACAGTTGTTTTATCTCACA